CTCTGACCCGAGGGACAGCAATTGCCTGAGCTTATGAAGTTTCTTGAATTCTCGTGGTACATAGATAGTTTTATTTCTCACCGATTTCAATAAAAGAGAGTTGAAGTGATCACTGTACGTAGACCTCCTCGTAGACGTTAATGTACGAAAAATAACGTTTACATATTGTCGTTAAATTGAGTTGAAATCGTCACTTTGGTCCTCACTGTCATCGTAACATAATAATACATTTTGTTTTCGGTTTGTATTGGTCATTTTTGGTTGTGTGTTTAGATCCGAACATTTATTCCTGCTAAAATGAGAGGACTCCTTGGGGATCCCGAATTTGATCATTTTGACTGATCGGCATATTTCGAGTATAGTTTGGTTAACGTACGTTGATATTTAAGGCATACGTGCAACTACATGAGATATCGTACACTCGTAAGCCCACTATCAACGCAAAAGTGAAGAATTTGTAAATGCGCATGCGTAGTTTTCATTTTCTACGTTCACGTGGACGTTCATGGCAATACTTCAACTCTCTTAAATTTAGAAAAAGAGGTTCATAAGGCTTCTGTTCAGCCTAGATTACATTGTTACACAATAATTACATAGCAAGACTGAATAAAACCAGCAAATTTCAAGAATACCCAACAAGAAAACCAGCTGATTCTTGTCGAGAAAATTCATATTTTTATTAGATAGAGAATACGAATTTTCAATGTTTTTCTTAATATCCAATCATGTTTTTTTTTCATGTTCATGATATATCTGAGATTCTGTGAATATTCCTTTTCAACATCATATTCATTTTTAAAACGGAATAAATGTACAAATTCATTACATTCCCGCTATAATTGAATCAGGTACCATTGATTATAGGAGTTTTGTTATACAGGGTGTATCTGAATAACACCGAAAAAATTCAAGGGGTGTTTCCTTGTGATATCCTAGCAAATAGAGTTCATATAAACATGTGTCCTAACTTGCTCCGTTTTTGAGATACAGGATGTTGAAGATGGTAGTATTGATTGTTTTCATTTATAACCCCCTGTATAAGCGTTCATGGTGCCAAAATTCAGTATGGTTGGAAACTGACAAAGCCCCAAAATTTCATAATGATTCTAATTGGGGTTATTGAATAATCTTAATGGAAGTCTTGGAAACCCCTACATTGAAATTTGGAGTCAAATCGAATTTTTATTGATTGATACCTCAAAAAATAAGCTTGATACAAAAATCACACAGAGGATGAAAAATTTGTTATTTCAATAGTTCAATCTAACAAAAATATGAAACTAAGATAAAATGAGAAATAAGAGAAAAAAAGAGAGTTGGTCAACTTTCAACTTTTTATTTTGTTTGAAAATGGAAGTGTGCATGTGCAAATGTCAGATAGATAGTTAACATAAAAGTCATAGTGGAAGAAGCATGATTCAATGGGTCACAACGGATTTGTGTTACTGGTATGATTGGTTCATTCCTATTCCTTATTTAATATTATTTATCTGTATGAATTGGTCTTCATAATTCTCATTTCTGAAATTATTTTATTATGATTCTTATTTTATCTCATTTGTTGTATAAACTCAGAGTATTTCAATCTCTGCCGGGAGTTAGGAATGTTTTTCCGTAGTTGTAATGTCATGGCAACGTCATCTGATGACCTTGAAACCAGGGCATAATCAGCGTACATACATTAGACAAGTAGAATCAAAGTCTGAATTGGGCGAAAAAATCCTGTAATTAGTAAGGTTGCGGTTCCTCTATTATCTGATAGATGCCAGCACGCTCGGACGTCAAAGACGACTCGATGTTGCCAAGCTGATTATATCGTGGTAACTTTCGTACTTTTTTTATTCTAGCCTTCCGAGGAAAAATACATTTGAACGATTTATCGTGTGCTGTTGAATATCCTATGAATTTATTAATTTATTTCAAACTGAGTACATTTTTCTCATTACAGTTTCAACATTATTTGGTGATATGATTATGGACAATATATTCCTAGTCAAATTGCCAAGTAAATCTGTCAACTATGTGAAACAATTTCATGACTTCTCAATTTTTGTGTTTTATGAGTTTCGTGATTCTTTTCCGTTGTGCTTAGCAGTGGTGTAGCGGTAGATTTATTGTATATGTTGTTGTGAAGGATATTTTATTGGATTGTTCTTTTGCTATTGTGTTTGGTGTTTACAGCGTGTGTTTTTGAATTCTTGTCAATTGCTGTGCTGACTTTTTGAGAATATTCAATGGATAGACCAAGTTACGTGTGTGGTGTGGAAGGTTGTTATTCCAACAACCTGTCCATTGGAGTACATTTGTTTAGGTTTCCTAAAGATCTTATTAGGTGAGTGAAGAGTGAAAAGGTAGAGATAAAACTTTCAATAAATAATGAAAGCTGCTTCTATAGATAGTTGTTGAGTTTTTTGAAGAAGTTTTAACTTCAATTGCATTAGTGTTCAGAGGCAATAAAAGTTCACCATTATGGCTGATCTATATTCTCTAAATCCCCAAGAACATTCTTCGAAGAGTTTTTTTTCAATACTCTGAAATGATTTTAAATGCAACTCTGATATCATAATAGGTGTATAATTTTTCTTTACATTCTTTAAGGTGCCGAGAATGGGCCTACAGATGTGGAATCCTTCACAAGTATGAAGGTCAACTCCACATGCTCTATAATTCTTACTATAGGGTATGTTCATTACATTTTGAATCAGAAATGATAGTTGAACTCAGAAAGCATCTGAAAAAGCATTATTTATTGAAATTCGCTAATAAAAATTTCAAAACTATCAACGAAAGTGGGGAAAAATTACATAAAAAAATAGTTATTTGGAGACATGAATGAATTGATACTTGAAGAATACTTTTCTCATGCATACAAATTTGATATCCATTTGGGGAAGTACACGGATACTTGTATTAATTTTGTTTTATTTATTTTGACACATTGACATAACTCGTTGCGATTAGTTGTTTAATTTTGTTATATGTATGTTATATGTATATGTTTATATATCCTTATCATAAACAAAGATGTTTCTTGGGGTAACAATGGACAAAACAACAACAATTATATATGAATAAAATTTATGAATGTTACAATAGATATTTTCCTTCATCACATCCCAAAAGTGCAAAGTAATAGTTTCTACTATGATTCCACCCAAAATGAATAAATTGTTAGATCTTCAACAATTACTTGTGGAAACTCGACACAAAAAAATGTGATTGTCCCGTTTATTTATGAATTTTGAATCTGAATGATTACTACCTATGTATAAAAAAGGAAAACACTGATAGTCATCAAAAAATACAAATTTTTTTACTTTGTAACATTCTTGATTATATTCGTAATATTTTTGAGAATGTGCCATGAACATCTAAATACTGGTTTAGTTTTGTTTCAAATCTGATTTTCTGAATGACTCAAATAATATTATTTCGAAATATATTCTGAATTCCTGTAAGAATATAAATTTAATCAAGTAAGCTCGAATCCGAAATATGTGGTACGCCCGTGGATACAATCAAGAAAGCACATGATCTAGTACAGTTGATGTACATTTTTACGTAGCGACATCTACAGAATAATAGCGGAAGCGCAACCTTAGAATGTATGTTAGGTGGTTGAAGGTCATTGGCGGCCGTTTTCAGAGATCAAAGGATTTTCAGACTTTGCACCTACTTGTCTAATGTATGTACGCTGGCATAATGAAAACTTTATATTGACTACACTGAAAATGGGAAGAAATGGAGAACAAGACCATTCTAACCTATTTTATATTGAGGTTAATATCTTCTCCATTTCTTCTCATTTTCAGTGTTGCTAACATAAAATTTTCATCATTTTGCATTGAAACACTGATGACAAGGACAGATGGGAAGACTAGGCAAATAACTGCTGATTCCAGAATGTCATTCATGGTCAAGTCACTGAATAGCTCCGAAGGGTATCTCCCATGCAGTAATGAATTTGCACCTTCCAACAACCCACCTGATGTTAGGTCTAGATATTTGATATTTTCATTTCATCATCTGAATAATCTGAGACTCATGATTCCCAAAAGACGGATTCTAACAGTTAATATTCAAGTAACTGACATAGTTTCACATATGATTGTTGGATGTTTTGTGTCCAAAGAGCAAAAAACAGAGACAATGCATTGACACTGTAAAATAGAATATATAGAAATGAATGGAGAAAACAATACAAGTGGATGCACCTCCATATTAGAGGTCTGAGCAATCAAAAAGTGTACCACTATTATTGTGGTCACTCTATCAGGTAGACATTTTTTCTCTCTCTCAGAAAGCTGAATTTCTCTATTGAGGTCTATAAAAGAAAGAACAATGGGAAATGGAAATATAGCCAGTACATCCCTATGTACAAATACTCTATTAGAGAGCTCAATTGGCAGGAACTGGTAGAGTGATTCTCCACAGAGTGTATATTCACATGTGTTCAAAACATGCAAGTAAGAAGGAAATATATTCATTGAGTGCAGAAACACTCCACCAGTTCCTGCCAATGATATTTGCTATATGACTGAAAAACAATTGCTAACAAAAAATAATAGTAGCTAGCATAAAATGGATATAATTTTCTCATTGTATCTTTTTGGGTAAAAATTTTGATTCACAAAACCATCACACACATTCCAAATTCACCATGGCAGAATATATTCCTTTGATCAATCATGATTGAATTTCAAAAACATAACAAACACTTCAATATTTCACAATTCCAGATATGATAGGTAACAGATACAGGTCAATATATCATATTATATATTGGACAAAAAATCAATATTTAGTCAACTTTTCAAAATCAAACTGACCATTCAAAGAACAAAAATAAGATGAGTATCTAGATCTAGATAAAATCTTCAATACAATTTTTATTATGTACAGAAGGAAGGTAACTTCAAAAAATATCTAGTTATTTGTTGAAGAATGTATGGAGGCATATTTTTTGCAGGAAACATAATACACCAGACATAACTACTTACCGATAATCAGCAAGCTGATATTTAGCTCCTCCACTTATACCACCTCCTGTTGATCCTTCAGAAGATAGATTACGAATCCAATCTGGACCAAAGTTCATTGAATCAGTCATCCTAAAATATAACAAATAAAACAATCTTCTAGTTTGCCTGACTCCTGAAGATCGAATATTTCAGAGAGGAGGCCAAAAATGAATAGAGGTTTCAGTATGCTCAGAATAGAATATGAACATGGAGGTGCAACTATTTTTAGACTGACAATATTGTTCTAATTGCTAACAACCGGAGATACTAGATCAGGCTTAGCGCTTAGATATACAATCTCAATAGATCAAAGCAGTACACATTGGAAATATTCATCTCATCACAAAGCATGAAGTGCAAAAGCCCCAGGCAGACAAGGTGGCACTTTAATTTCCATCATTAGAGCCATATTGATACATTCGTGAGGAATCCAAAACACATCAAGAGGTTCTTGTACTCAAGATACTTTCATATCAAGGCGAAATTATTTGCAATTACCGGATTTACCTGAATAGTGAATATTTCTTTTTTTACACTTGGTAAAATGCGAACAACATAAATGGCTGCAGCGAATTGTAGGTTATCGCGCATGTGCATGAGTTCCATAGAGGTGTTGCGCACGAATTCAATACTACCTGAATTCGTCCATACAACATATGAAACGCAAAAGAGACAGGGCGCAACAAATAATACAAGCTTCGCTCACGGCCGATCCGCTAATCCTGGTGAAAAAGAAAAACATCGTAGTTAATATCTGCCCCAAAACTGAATGCCTTTACAATCTTTTCTTTCAATTTTTCATTTCGAAAAAAGAACAAAGAAGTAGGTGGAGTACGGGATTTGAACGTGCTCGAACTTGGGGTGGACCATTTCGGGGGCCCGATTCTCGAATCTGTTGGAATTCGTTCCCATGGGAAAAACTCGATATTTCCCATGGAAATTTGAGATGATGTATTCTTGAAATATTGTATGGGAAACTATTCCTACACATTTCAAGGGAACTGCTTCCCATGGTAATACCCACGGGAACAACATGTTTCCCATAGGATACAATCATGAAATACGAAGTTATTTTCATTTTTGATGGGAACTAAACCTTAGTGAGAAATCAGAAAAACATATGTATTGCAAAACATGGCAAACATAGATGAAAAAGATCATCTATAGATGCTTCACAAAATTTGGAAGTGGCTGGAATCCTTGCTAGAAGACTGAGAAGAAGGTTTCTGCGTAGATGGGACCAATTGATAGGTGTTTGTCTACTGCATAATTTATTAAAGTTTTTCGTTTGTCCAAAGACATTACTAGAAAATTGATAGGTACTTTAGAATTTTTGTAAGTGAATTGGGGGTGACATTTCCCTTTCCTCAAGTCCTCAGAGGCCTCCATTATTTCTATTAAAAGTCTTGGCTGCTCTTTGCTAATACTAACACCACGTGGTTTTTTAATAGTGTTTGTATCCATATCCATTTCGATCAGAGGAAATAAAGTGAATATACAATACACAATAATCTCACAGTCGCAAAATTATATTATTCTATAACCTCAAAATTAGTCAAAATCAGAATGTCAACATTTCATTTCAATCATCCACTAGTTACCAACATGAATTCCACTTATTTCATTGGTGGATTCATCTAAGTTCAAGAATCTATCTGCGACATACGGCACTTTTTCAATCCCCTGGGAAAAACGATTCCATCTGGTTCAAGAATAGGTGTCATGACAAATTATCATTTCCTATGAGAACTGAAAGCATTGGATCATTCTCCTATAGGATCGAATTCCTACAGATTCGAGAATCGGGCCCCGTAGTATTGAATTCGTGCAGGTATCGCTATCAGCGTTGCCAGATGATCCAAAAATTCCAGAGCCCAAAGTAATCCGGAAATCTGTGAATATCACAAGGTTGGTAAAACTGATCAGTGGTTTCTACACTGACATAAACTAGGGTCCCTTGATGGAAATTGACGTTAAAGTCATCTTAACAGGGTACGGACAGATCCTCGTCTCTTCTCACTCTAAAGCGTTTGTGAAACAGTTATACAGGGTGTTTCCTAACTACGGTTCCTAACTGCAGGTGGTGACTCGTCAGGTCATTACAGGAAGAAAAGTTCCTATCAACATATGTCCGGAGTTGCTTCGTTCCTGAGATACAGGGCGATGGAATCGAAAAAAAAAAAACGGTTATTTCAGAATTTCATGAATATCCTGGAATCGATTCGGTTGAAATTTGATACTTTTATATGAACTAACAAGGCGCTTATTTAGTCTTATTTAGATTGAAATTATTGGGGCCAGTGGCGTCTCAGTGGGCACCACAGCCAACAATATTGTAACAAAAAAGTACGCCACTGACCTTTCTTGTAGAATTTTCATTTTCATCAGATTAAGCAACTCAAGATACTACTTCTTGGTCACCTGTATTTTCTTCATATCCAGCTTCGTTTCCGAGAAAAAAATCAAAGCCACTGTATTGCATATCATGAACACCTGCATTGGAGAAATTAGTTTTTCATTATTTCCGCCAAAAATATAATTGACACTTGGTATGCTGGAATTTTAGAGAATTTAACAAATAAAAGTACCAAATTTTAACCAAATCGATACCAGGATATTCATGATATATTATAATTACCTGTTTTTTTTTCCTTTAATTTCAACGCCCTGTATCTCAAAAACAAAGCAACTCCGGGCATATGTTCATAGGAACTTTTCTTCTAAAAATGACCTAGCAAATCACCCCCTGCAGTTAGGAACCGTAGTTAGGAAACACCCTGTATAGTTCCATCCTTGTTCAATTCTGGGGATAAACACTAGATTTTTGACATTCGTTGTTTTTTAGGTTATATTGAGGTCACTGGCGTATCATACGTAATTTCCATATAAAATTCCTGATTCAACTATACCAAGATATAGATGAACAATCCTCTAGTATTAAAGTTCACTACTCCAGCATAATCTTTATGCGAGGTAGGGAATATATAAATTGTACTGAAAGCTTATATTGTATTTCACCAAAAGATAATGTTCTTAGACTGTATACCAGGGTTGACTGAATTGACTGAATGAATTCTGAATTCAAGCTGAGCAGTAGTTTATCTATGAGCTGAATGAGCAGAGCCTCATGATTGAGAAATGGTGGAAACCTCGATGTGGGTATCTAAACTACTGTAGGTACTCATGTCATGTGTACACTATATTTTTTTTGGGAAATCCAGCTCGGGGAAGAATTTATGGAGTTACTAATATCACACTATGTATAAAACTTCGTCTAGAACGAAAATCAGACTGATGAATAAATACGTAAAATATGAAGGAAAATGAAGAATAGAATATACTTCACCTCATTTTTCTGTCTCCCTTGAATAAAGTCATTTTCGAATAATTTATTGATGGAAGTAACAAAAAAGTAGGTATGCGCAGTATAACTTATAGGCACGCTATTTTCACTCTTGCATCCTACATATTTTCTATGTGTGGTAGAGTAATAATTATACAAACTAATGTCTCTCGCCATATTGGATCGGTCATCTTGAATTTTCCAATTTTTACCATACAATCATTATCTTCTACCCCGAATACCTCCAGATACCAATTTCAAATAGAATCGTACCTTCATTACAAAACTCGTCCACCATATTGGATCAGCCATCTTGAATATATCACTTCTGACGAAATAATTATAATCTCCGACCCCGGAAATCCCCAGATACCAATTTTGATTTTTATTGGATCCGCTATCTAGAATTTCCCAATCTTGACAAAAAATCATAAAGTTCGATCCCGAAAACCCCCAGATATTAATCTTAAATATAATCAGATCATAGTTAGGAATTTCTTTCGCTATATATTGGATCCGTCATCTTGAATTTTCCAAGTTTGACGAAACAATCATTATCTCCAACCCCGGAAAACTCCAGATATCTTCTAATCTTGAATAGAATCGGATCATAATTACAAAACTCGTTCGCAATGTGATCTCCCTCAACGAGTAAATACCCTGTACATACCTATTATTAAAATTTAGAATGATTTTCTGTAGCGCCCATGGATGTGACGTGACAGCAATGTCAGGGACGCCAGTAGACAAAACTAAAGTCTCTAGATCGTTAAAAAAGAACGCAGCTATGATCTGTCCGTACCCTGTTAGATGACTTCAACGTCAATTTCCATCAAGGGACCCTAACATAAACTACTTTGTCGAAAAATATGCATGCAAATTAGTTCGATTCATTGGATCGAGCCTAATTTAATGTAGTCTTGTCCTCTTATATCCACTCATCCTGAATGAGATTCTGAAATGATTTTTTTTACTGTTGAGGGCATGGAGAGTTTATTTCTTGTAACGAATCGCATCATTTGATCAGATGGCGTTTCGAAAACTTTTCAGGAATATCACCTTTAGGAGTCCTCTTTCAGGGGGTCTTAGCTCCCTTAGGAGACATTTTTCGACTGATGTTCTTCACGAGCACTTCACGAGCGAATGCGCATGCGTCCATATTGTATCACGTGATTCACTGTCATCAATCTAACAATGAGGTTAGGACGAGAGCTTAAAGTCTTTGAACCATTTCCAAATCTCATTGTCAGATTGGTAACAGTAAATCACGTCATACATTATGAACGCATGCGGATTCGCTCGTAGAAGAACTTTGAATTATTAAAGATTCCCTCGGGGTCTCTAGAGGAAGGAGAAACACCCTTGAAAGCCTTAATCACTACACAAATGATCACAGTGGGCTGACGCCATGCTATTAGTGAACCAGAATAAAACTCCCTGACGAAACTCAGCCTATTGATCATTCTAGAACACGTGATTTTGACATGGTTTCTTGAGGGGCACACAAACTATCTGTTAGGTTACCTTTGATAAGCATAGCCCTGGCCATCCCTGCCACATCCACAATATAATAACAGTTTCACAAAACAAAATCATGAAAGTCTTTCTGTTTTCAACTCGGATTTTAAGAAAAACGATGCCACTCATTCTGGTTCTATATGACAAAATACAATGTTTGCCCCTCAGCAACCTGTCAAATGACGTAATTCTGGAATGATTAATACAATGTTATTGCGAAAAATAACAATAAAAAAATACGAATACGAACATATCACGTGATGGAATGATTCGAAAGATTTAGGCATTTGTAGGTTTGGGAATGGTTCGAAAACTTTAGGCTCTCGTTTAGACCGTTTTGTAAAGAAGTCAAAGTCAACATTGAGCATTGAGGTTATGGTGGTCCCAGTCCAGTGTTTCTGTTTTGAACTTTTGGAGAGAATCTCTCTGTATGTCGTTTCTTCTGAAAGTATTTGCATATAAAAAGGGTGAGGAAATCGAATTAGTCAGTACAATTCAATGAATAATAATGGCATCAAATTATAACTTTGCTGAATTGAATTTGAATAACTGGATTATCAGACAATGTGCCACAATCGGTAAGTATCTACCACAGATTGTATCTACCTACTGGAATCTCTGGTTTGTTCATTCTACTGGCCTTTTTAATTATTATTTCAGGTGTTAAATCCCCGACACCCATTCAGGTCAATTGTATTCCTGAGATTCTTGAAGGAAAGGACTGTATTGGAGCTGCCAAAACTGGCAGTGGTAAAACTTTAGCTTTTGCTTTACCTGTAATTCAAAAACTATGTGAGGATCCATATGGCATTTTTGCTTTGATTTTGACACCCACCAGGGAATTAGCTTACCAAATTGCTGATCAATTTGCTGTGATTGGTAAACCAATGAATCTGAGACACTGTGTGATAGTTGGAGGTATAATTTTTATTAGACTTTTAATGAAGTTTAAGGTCACTTGATTATCAGATCTAAAGAATTAGGTGATTTCAAGAGATATTTCAATTTTAAATTCATTCTAGGAATGGATATGGTGGAACAAGGCATTCAATTATCAAAACACCCTCATATTGTAGTTGCAACTCCTGGCCGTTTGGCTGACCACTTAGACAGCTGTAAAACCTTTTCCTTATCTCGTATAAAATTTCTGATCCTAGATGAAGCTGACAGACTTCTAGGGGGTCACTTTGATGACCAGATCAAAACCATATTCAAGAATTTACCTAAGACACGCCAAAATCTATATTTCTCTGCTACTCTAACTGATACCTTGGAAAAACTGAAACAATTAAGCAGTAAAGATGTTTTTTACTATCAGGCACCAAGTATATCTGATGTGATAACAGTTGAGCAGCTAGAACAGTTTTATGTCCTTTGTCCAAAAGATGTAAAAGATGCATATCTTGTTGAAGTAATAAGACAGTTCAGAAGTTCAAATGAGCATGGGAATATCATGATTTTTACAGATTCTTGCAAGTAAGTACAAAATGAGTTGGTAGGTAGGTAGTGCAGTTGGCATATAGTTAAAATATTCAATGGATACTGAGAGTTCAGAATTGAAATAATGATAATGGAAATATTATCCAGACTTACAGTACCAGGTGATTCAAGGTGATGAGGTACAGTATCTCAGGAACTAATAGTTTATTAAACACTCCTCCTAGGGAGGGCGGTAAGGACCAGAATGGTATGTATGGATCTTTATTTTATTCACCAAACCTTCCTTCCTCGAACCATACCTTTTGTTAGCAATTTATTAGTTCCTGAGATACAGCTTATCTGTTACCCTTATTGAATCACCTGGTACAGTTACAGTGGTATTCAATGAAAATACAAGTATTAAAAAGAGAGGTTTACATCATTCTAGTTCTAGTAGTTCTAGTAAATCTGGCACAGCCAATGCTTTGTGTTTTGAGAACCTATGACAACTTTACTGTCAACATTTGGTAAACAATCATTCCCAAGCCTGTTTAGGTATTAGGCAAATAGGATGATGTTAATCTCTCTCACTCTTTCATACTTGTATGCTTTTTTTTAATACAATTGTACTTGAAACCAATCTTGGAACTAAATAAATGTAAAATGGTTGATAAAAAGTATTCACACATATTGATGAAAACTAAATCAGGTGATACTATATGATGTGCTTGCACCCCTGTTATTTAAAATTAAATTTAGGTGATATATAATAATAAGTAATGAGTGGGATTAAGTGATTTCACAATATTAGCAACTTATCATTTTGGATAATTTCCAGATAGGTATGTGAGAATACAAATATTAACTTTCATCCCAATGTGAATTGGACAGAAATTCCAAAAATGTCCATGATCTCTGTATCTTGTGACCAACTCTAGTCTAGGCAGTCTCAGGAACAGGTTATGGTATAATGGTTCAAGTTTACACCCTGTGTGTAGTATTGTTCTGTTCCATCCATTCTTTTGAAAAAAACAGGCTGTTGAAAAACTGCCAAATTCAGATTGGTGCACTACTTGGTGTATCAACTGTAGATTTTGTTTCTTTTATCTTCTTATTGGAATAACTGATAGTTTTCCTTGATGGAAGTGTGTAGAATATTATATTGTTCATCTAGCTGGAGATCTAGCCTATACAAGTTGTTTCATGGTGGATGGAACATAAGACGTATCTGGAGAACCAAACAACAGTTCATCTGTAAAATTTTTGGGCCAGGATAATCAAGCATGCTCTATCCACCTAAAATATTTTCGACAATGTGGTGTTGTCACTTCTATTAGAATGTAGTAGCAACTTTGTTATTTCGAACAGAACACCCTGCCTTTCATTGTATTTTCAGATTCTGCCTGAAAAGCTGATTTCATCAATGTATCACACTGAGATATATGCTGTTCAAAATCTAGATTTTTCAATTTCAGGATTTTTATGACGAAACTATTCATTATTGCTCAAAACGGCTGTCCCTATTTTAACTTTTGATTTACTACCTGGGATATTTAATTGGAACAGATACAGGGTGATCAGGATTCTGAATCTTGAATCACCCTATATTTTGTTCCAATTAAGTGTCAGTAGATAGTAAATCAAAAGTTAAGATAGGGATGTTGTAATGAATAGTTCCAACATAAAAATATATAATTGAACCATCTCGATTTTGAACACCCTATATCTCTGTAATCATTCCTGCTATACCCCGAGTGTGGTACAATCATCTGAAAGTGCAATGAAACACAGGATGTTCCAATATAAAAGTTACTACCACTTTCTAATAGAAGTGGCAACACTGCATTGTCGATAATATTTTATAGCAAATTCCATTCCTAATCTAATCCTGGTGGTGCACCAGTTTTGCACCACTTCTGCACTTGTACTATTGTCAATGTATTTTGTTTCTGGATCGACAAACACAGTAGAAAACAGTACATTGTTCAATACTCAATGGCGGACCTTTTAGCATAATTTAGTTCAACGAATGAGCATACCGGGTGACACAGGGTATCGGGCCACCCCTGTATATTCGTGATTCTTCTGAAATTTTGCACAGTTATAATAAGTAACCATTTCGGATTTGATCCAACCACTTATTACTCTATCTAGACTGCTACCCAGCCAACCAAGAGATGTATAAGTGATGTATACGCCACATCACTTTGTGACATGCGATATCTCATTTGAAGTCACAAACATGTTACCGATACAACGTGGCGATGTGAAAATGTCCGACTCAAGCAACATCACTGTGACGTCGTTCAGACATGAAATGCGACATCACATGACAAATCACTACCAGGTCACATACAAGTGCATGTACATTTCATATTACAAATACATCACACTCTGCGACATCGATGATGTGGTCGCCGTACCTGTGATATTCGTGGGATATATAATTATAATTATTATTCAACTTTACGAAGAAAATGTTTATTTTCCGAAAGTGAAAACAGATGATACAAAACTTATCATGACAATCACCCTAATTAGTAATCTTGAAGTAAAACATGACACATATATATAGCAATACAAATATACATTGTTCATAAATGATACATATCAAATACACTTACATTATCTTGGGATCTTTCATCCACCTTGTTTTAGATTGCAATATTCCTATCTCAGTGATAATTACAATATTACCTATTGTGATTGAACTCACCGTCGTTCCTAAATGATTGTATACCTCCAATTTGAAGCTGCTATAATATGTGCGCTATAAATCATCTCAGATATTTCAACAAAGAATTTGGAAAGAAATAGTCTGTACGGAGTCGGACTCACTCACTGACTGACTGACGTGGCCATGCACAGCTCAACATGGCGTCTGGCGTGTGCGTTCGTTTTGCGCATGTCTGCGTCACACTAACGTCACAAATAAGATATCTCATGAGGATATCAATGTGAATTATTTAGTTAACGTCGAAGAGATGTAGTTTGAAGAATTCGCTGCCACATTACATAGTTTCCTGGTTGCGATGTCACCTTGCGACGTTGATATCGAATCTACGTCGATAAGATGTGTTAACGAGATATTGCATTTATGCAAGGTTGTTACATCACACAGATGTTGATGTCACACGATGGTTGGCTGGGTAGTAGTCATATTGCAGCAACCCGAAAATGTTGGGTCAGTTGCTCGCCTGAAAACGCTTCTGCTCAATACGCAGGAACCCCCAAGCTGTCGTTCTTGACTTTGACGTTGTATCGAAATCAACCTAGCATCCATTATATCATGGGCGGCGGTAAGGTGGATGGCGTCGGCTTGAGTGTTCTGTTTATGCCAACAGGGGTCGGCTCAAGAAAAATAATATCAAAATTGAGTGGTGATATTAATTTTTTCGGTTTATTTTCGGCAATCCTAGGAAATATGAAGTGTTTTGTTATTTGGTGGAAGAATTCCACTACTTAAAAGAACATGAAAGAGTAATTCCGGTCCTGATACGAATGTTTTCATCAGTTTTCTTAGGTTACGACAGTGATTTATAAAATATTTCCAAGAACTTTTCAAAGGGAATAACAATAATGGTCTTGGTTTCGTAAATATTCATCATATTTCCATTTTTGATGATATTTCAGCCAACAATAATTAATGAAAAAAAAAAAAAAACAGAATGACTGAAATTGTACCAGAAACTTCCGCAGAAGTTCCTATAGTATTTTTTCCGTGGATTCATAATATGACCTCAGATTTTTGATAATTATTATACAGGGTTAGTAATTCTCATAATAACTCAACATAAGAACAATATTATATTCCGGTCCTGAATTCGTTTCGTTCAGAAGGCTACTTGGACATTAAAATAAATAAAAAATGAAATATTTATTGATCCTTTCAACTATCGGTAACAATGGCTCGGATACGTCAATGTTACCTGTCATAAAAAAAATTGTATATAAGGAATTGACAAATAAGACGAAACGAACTAGTGAGACAAGATGAAATGACAGTGACCAACATAAATTGAGAAATACTCTGATATTATTTTAAAATTGAAAAGTAGGATTCGAATTCCTCAACGGCATAAAAGCATTCTCTGACTAGGAGTTCCTTGAGTCTACGCTTGAAAACAGACGGGGATCCGAGTTTTTTTTACATTTGTACATGGCATTTTTGACAGTTTTGTCGGTTTCATGTATAACTGTACCAAAATTATTCAGAAAATATTCGTTTGCTAATGCAAAAGTTATAGGGATCGCCAGATACCCTGTGTCAACTATAGTTATTGTAATTGACCCGAATTATTAATGGCATTTTTCGGAAACTGCTCACCAAAAAATGATGAACCAGGGTACTGTTGGAAAAAGAATTGTGCATCTTGACCCTCCTTTGGTTCTAGGATTAACATCTACCCCTCCTAGGGGGAAAATATGCATTTAAATTTTAAAGTGTCCCCCTTGAAAATGAAATCAACCTGCCTCTGAATTTTCACATTATTCAGTGGAAGGAAGATGTTAAGGGTGAAGTTTTCTAATTGACACGGGATTTTTCGGAAACTACTCAACAGAAAATGATAAAGTAGAGTAGTAGAGTACAGTTGGAAAGAGAATTGAACGCCCTTCAAAATGATGTCCCATTTGACCCCCCCCTTCCTATTTGATATTCTAAGGGTAACCTCTTCCCCTCCTAGGGGGTTGAAATGTCAGCCTGTATAGGATATTATCTAGGTATATTTCCAGGAATTGTCAAATATTATCGATGACTCTGAATGAAGTGGGTTTTGAGAATGTAGCACTTCATGCGATGATTCCTCAGCAGCAAAGATTGGGAGCATTATCAAGGTTCAAGAGTAATATTGTAAAAATGCTAATTGCAACTGATGTAGCCAGTAGAGGACTTGATATACCTACAGTTGCCCTAGTAATCAACCATGCAGTACCAAAAGTTCCTAAAGAGTATGTCCATAGGGTGGGGAGAACAGCAAGAGCTGGAAGGCTCGGAAAAGCTATAACTTTGATAACACCCTATGATATTAAACAACTTCAAGCCATAGAACATCATATCAAAATGAAGTTGAAAGAGTTCAAAATAGATGGTAAGTTTAGTTAAGTTTCAGTTTCAACGTAATGAGACGATGACTATTTTTGTTGCCTCCCAACTAAAAACTTATTTATTTATTTATTTATTTTATTTATTACAGACAGTGAGGTTGGTAAAATATTCACTCAGGTGTCAGTTACAAAAAGTGAAGCTTATCTGAGATTAGATGAAAAAGATTTCTTCGAAAAGATGATGATAAATAAAAAGAAGAAATGGATTCTAGAAGGACTAGACCCTGAAGAGGAGGAAGAAAAGTTTTTGAAAAGGAATAAAAGAAAAAAAATGGACACACAAAATTCTGACTCTAAGATCTCCAAAAGAGTTTTATGAAAGAAGATGAAATCATCAGAAGAAATGAATGCTGGAATTTTTTTTTTTTTTTTTTTAATTAATTAATAATATAATATAATTTGTTATACATGGGTATGAAACAGGTATTGATACTTTTAGTCATGATGACTGATATTTTGTTTCCTTATTTATCATGGCCTACCAAATGTGAAAATGTTTTTACTGTTTTTTGCATGGTTTCATGTGGAAATTGAACAAAATTGAACAAATAACATCCCAACAGAATAGGCTCTGTTATAAGGAAGTACATAATTAAATACCTATACGTAAATATATCATCATTCAAAATATATCAACAATTGTAAGTTGGCAAAACAGAGAATTTCTTATCAGAAAGTAACAAAACATAATATCTAACTCAATGTAAAAACCAATCAAATGAAACAGAGAAATACTTTCAAAATTCAATTCCTAACCAAATATTATCTGAATAATGGAAAAATAACTTTGTTAATCAGTTAAATATTTCCTCTAGTAATCAGAGATATAGATGTTGCATGACATACATGTTTACAAAAAAGAAAAAGAAAATAGATAATCATATTAAAAGAGAAATACTATATGAATTACAATCAAACTGAGAACAACCAATACTCATCATGAGATAATCATTCAGAAATTGAATAAGTTTAAATACTCAAAACTACTATTGCATTAGAAATTTGAAATAATTTATCACTATTTCTATTAATGTTGAAATTTAGTGCACAATGGTATATGATATACTGTGTGTGCACTAGTGCATTCATGTTTCAGTGACTGAGAAGAAGGAAGAAAAACTGAAAACTCCAAGTAACCATTTACTTGAAGGATAATTTATTTTTGGTCTCGTTTTTATTCATGTACCTAACTTTATGTAGGAAAGTTTGTGTTAGTAGGGTTATTTGGGATAGGTAATTTTCACTCTGTTCTCCATTATCAAGTCATTTATTTTATTTTTAGTTTTGTGGTATGGATTGTTTCTTATATTTTTTGGCAACTGGTTGTAGATTTTGGGTCCTACACAATATACGTGACTTTGGCATGCAGTGTGTTTAGGATTTTGTAAAAGATCTGCTAGTCCCTGATGAAGTAAATATTTTCAGAAGTATATAAAAGATGACATGTCAATCCTGAAATCCTTATGTAAATAAAAATCACTACTGACCTATCTTATATTTTTTTCATTTCACTTTCTAGTTATTGTCATACTTTTTGTCATATTATGACTCATAAAAAACACCACGAAACATAGCGTCTCTAGTGATGATCCTGTTTCGAAACACAAAAAAAAATTAAATTACTCATCAGATACTATGAGTAGGCTCGTGATCAGTATTTTTTCAAATTTCAACTAATGTCATGGGGTGCGTTCAAATACGTACTCCGTGGAGTAGAGTTTACTCATTTGCTTACGAAATTGGTTAATTGTGTATATTTTACTCTTGTGACTCATTCGTAAGTACTGGAGTTTTTAGTTGACTTGTATCTTCACAAAATAGGTGGGTAAATTTTACTCCACAGATTTGAGTTATTACAGGGCGAACAAGGATGAAGAAGTTTGTTTTGAATTGGGTAAGGTCCATTTGAAACGCAGTTTATGATTGTTTTATATCTATAAAGCATTCAAACTTGGTAAGTACTTCTCAACATTATATTTCGATGTTGAATAACATCATGAATTCTTCAGAAAGTAAGACACTAAGGTTTTGTTGTGGGTACTGTTCTGTTCATATAACAAAATTTTCAATTATGAATTCAAAAGTCTATGTATATTAAGGTTTATTGTATATACATTATTAGAATAGCAGTACCTACGCAATACGTGGTTTCAACATTTTTATAAACGGCAAGTAACTGGAATAGAAGATCTACCTGAGATGTTTGATCTACCTACATTATGAATTATTGACATTTGACCCTGAACTGACTGAACTAAACTTGTCAACTTGATAAACATAATCATGTCAATCTCAGATGTCAATAAATTAACTTACTCAAAATTTCGTTTGAATATCACAACGATAAGTAATTAAACTGATTAAACCTTCAACTGAGTTTACCCTACTCTGAGAGTTTAATATTCCAACGCACCCCAGCGACTGCCAACTTTTTTATCACAAATGGTACCGAATGTTTTTTTTCTGAGACAATGTTGCCAAGTTGAAAATACCTCATATGTACCTCTCATTCTCATTTCTCAATATTATTGAAGGCAGTCATTTTTTTTCGAAAATCAATAGAAATAGAACCAAGTAAGCAATTTATTATTGATATACATATAGGTGAGTACCTAAACTTGAAATTCACTGGAAGGATTTGAAAGTGAATGGTATGAATATCTGAACTGTGATTAAATAAAAAATGAAATTTCAGTTACGATTCTGAATAATCCACCAACAGAAATCAACCATCTAACTAATTCTGTAATGTAATTTTTCAGTACCACGAGTTTTCATTCAAGTACTTTTGGTTGACTTATCTAACAGCATCTGTATCTTTGCTGAAATGAAAATATCTAGAAATTAATATACCAATAGGCATCATTGTCAAGTCCACTGTGCATTTTATTGGCTCCCGAGAGAAGGTGAGGGCGTTACCAATCCAAATTGCTCGCGCAGTGACGTCACACGTTTCGCGTCTGATCATCTGAATTTGCTCGTTCAATTTGGCGTGTTCAATAATTTTCTGTAGGATGAATCGATGAAAAAAATCTAAAGAAAATATTTCAAGGTGCTCAAGGAGCCATAAGTACATATATTTTGAGATATATATTTTCTAGAAATGACTGGACAGGCCCATTATAATAGCGGCGCTATGGCTTGGGGCGTCAGCCTGTATATCTTGCTGGGTATATATAGAGTGATTCAATAGTAATGATATGGCACAAAAGTGTTCCATAACTTGAAATTCACCCTGTGTTTGGCACCAATTTTCTCTTGAACCCTTCCTCAACACTTCACCCAGGCGCAGGACTGGTCCAATTATTAGCATACGGTATATATCAGAGATATTTATATTTGTGACCTTCGAAGAACAAACTAGGCATAGCAGAACAACGAGCGATTGAAAAAAGATTGAATGAAAAACCATTAATTTTTCTCACCTAATACGTTAAAGCAACAAAGAAAATTAAAGGAAGTGCAATTGATTTTCAAAAGTGGCTCTAGTAAGATGACTGCTTTTCAGGCCGGACCCAGTGAAATTTATGCCACACATCATGTCGGATCGGCTTTTTCAGAACTGTACAAAATTATTTGCTTTTCCTATTATTTCACTGTGAGGTAGTGAAAATGAGATATTTACAGAAATATTATTGGTATTCCGGATCTTATTTGTAGTTATCTTGGATGCCAATATCGTAAAAATACGAAGGTTTATACTCAATGGATCGGGAATATGTACCGCTATTGAATATCTTCATTTTAGATCCTTCTATAAATCGCTTGTTGCTCTGCTTTACCATTTTTTAGGCACTATAATATGTTGAGCTGTATTTATTACAAAATAAATAATAAAAATACAATTTATAATATATTATAATCTGATGAATAACGCATTTCATAAAAATATAAAAACTTAATTTTATAGTGATATATTATACTTATATCTAATTATACGCCCATGCACAATATTTCACAGGTGTGATAGAGATGAGCTTCAAAAACACTTAATATTATTCCACTCAAATCTTGATAATTTCGTCCAAAATAATTGAACCTCTGGCAACACAGTATAGTCAGCGCCTACACTCTGCGACATTGCCAGATTGAAAAATACTAACATTAGGAAACAAACGTACCTTTCTATTCATTTTGTTCCTGAATATCGAATTTTTGAATCTAGCATTCAATCATAATTGCGAGAAAAATGAAGGTCCATGATTATCATATAAGTACTTGTGAAGATCTGAACAAATAAAATGGAAATAAGTATTAGCATAACATGAAATATCATCAATTTTTCAATTACCGTGTTGATGTATTCACAGGACCCAAATCGGAATTAAAATCATTCATGTGAAATATTGTGCTTAGGATTGATAGTACCTTTGTATATAAAGCAAACGATTCCAATTGATGTCCCCACACTTTCCCACGAAAGCCTTCTGGCAAATTATGGGCTACATAATGAGGAGGCACTGGTCCAGATTTTTTTGGGTTTAGGCAAAAATGCATTTTGTTTTTCATGAAAACCCATCTTTCATATTTTTCACTATAACTTCGAGTTTCAGAAAAAAGAGCTTATAATGCAATTAAACCTTGTCGAAAATACTGATAGTTTGTTGATTCAAGTCATCAATGGCTGCAGGACCTTAATTTGAAAAACCCTGTATACTTGGAATGCTTGTATAATCGGAAAATATTTTTGGGTGAATAATACAAATTTCAAAATCTGTTTTTGAATGAGAAACCATTTCGAAACATTACACTAGCCCCTTTCAATAAGTCCTCACGAGCCTCCTTTTCGGAATCACCGTGTCCCATCATTACACATTGTGTGCCCTCTATTTTGAGCATCATAATATGAGGATTCCTCTGAAATGCTCTCACAACAACCTCATAGCCACTTTTTCTCAGTCCATTCTGTAACTGCTCTAGTGAAATCACATCATCCTGAAATCAAGTAGGTGCGTTACCTCTATTTTGGATGTAGGAACCTCTGAAATTATTTTTCTCTAACACTACTTCAGATATTGAACATCCCACAACGTCAAATTGTTTCAGAACAAACGTGATTATGATCGTCTGTGTTAGAAACAACGTGTTAGAATGAATAATTTTAACACTGCTGCCGACCGATAAGAAGGTGTCTACTTTTTTTTTTATCGCTTGGAGCGCACGAAAGGGAATCCGATGTTGCTATGGTCAAGTAGGTGTCCACATACTATTTGATGTTGCATGGTTACGCCAATCATGTTATAGAGATGCGTTTAACTCTTGACGTTTCGAAATTAGAACATCTTGAATTCTTTCAAACGTGTATTTATGAAATCTTGTAAGAAATAGTATAGCCGACAATACGTTTGGAATGGCTTATTCTACTTCCCTTCCTGGGTAATTCACGGTCAAATTTCGAGTTTTTTCAATTTGTTTTTAGGCCAACTCTGGAACTTTTCAACTCCAGCTAGTTTTTTGATAGCGATATAAAATTTTCGGAAATAATTAGTTTCTAAGTGGTTTTTGGAAACTTTGACCTTGATTGACTTGAAAAGGAATAATAGGGCCGCTTGTGTCCACTAAAGTTGTAGAGAATCTCATTGTCAATATTTTGAGCACTTGCAGGGTGTTGTACGTCCTACTACAGAAAGCGATATTTCTGGCGTTTATTTTTTTTTTGTGAATTTTCAAAATATTCTCTCTAAATGTCCCAAGTGAACTATCAACCAAGTTAATTTGGGATTTTGCCTCCACTGGGGCCCATTTTACTGGGCAACTCGCGAATTGCATGCAAATCATTATTTAATCCATAGTTTGTGGTTAACTAGCCTCTCGTACATATAGGTCAATGACGTCAAATGACCTTCGAATACGGCTAAATTCGCCAAATTTTATGCAAATGTTGTAACATTGATGATGAGTCAAAATGAAACGTTCAACCAAGGGGCATGCCTTTGCAAATAATATGAAACAAATGTCTGATACTTCAGGTTTCGGTATACCCGATATATTTTTACTTATTTCTATAGGAAATCATATTGAGTATAATGGCATCTAATTTGTTTCTTTCTGACATTTATCATCCTGAAATTTTCTTTATTCAATTTTCGATCTAGACTGCCATGAATAAGATAAAACGGATAATTTTGGATCAAGTTGTCAGGGAAAAATAGTTTCGATTAGGTTTTACTTTCTATTTCTTTTGCAGGTTCATTTAAAGTTCACAAAATCTTAATCATGATATTGACTCAATTTTTTCATACTGTAATTTTCCATTTTCAACTAACGAACTAATTAAAAGAAGAATTTCTATCAAAACTGACGATATGTGTGCACAAGAATGTCATAAATATTATTTTATATTATTTTCCAATGCCACAATGAACTAATAAGTCAATTTATTCAAAATATCGATCTAGTTATATAGTTATATATATCTCTAGTTTGTTCACAACAAGATGCCCCTTTTTAAATGATGGAAATGAGGCCACCTTTGTTCTATTTAAAATATTGGGCTAACATCATAATCGAAATCATTTTTTCTTGGCAAATTGATCAAAATCAACAGTTTTAACTCATTCATGGCACTCTAGATAGGAAATTAATAATTGATCATTCCAGGATAATAAATGTCAAAAAGTGAAGAAGTGTACTCAAAATGTGATTTGCTCGAGGATTTGCTATGGAATGAGTAAAAATATACCCGGTGTCCTTTTTGAAATAAGGGAGTATGGGTAATTTCCGGTGAAACTTGAAGTGACAGAAAACAATTGAATACGCCAAAAAATGCATATTTGTGGAGTATACCAACACACCGACTTTCATTTGTTTACCTGCACAAAAAAAAGCTATAGGGGTGAGCCATTTTTGAGAAACAAGGAGGTCAACCCCTAAATTTCTTGAAACAAAACCAATATAAATTATATTGAAAGAATCGGCAAATTATCCAAATAGGGTGGTTTAGTACCCACTTACCCTCGTGTTTAGTTCCTGATCCTGTGATTTCATATTTTGAATTATTATCTGCCTCTTAGAGGATAAATACTGTCTGTAGGTTAATCAAGGAGGTAGTACATTCATTCTTAGAGGATATTGAAAAAAATAATTCATCTAGCGACAATTACAGCCATTACAGGCGTACCTTGATTAAACGCGGTTTGCGGACGAATAATCTACAAATTATCTTTCAAATGGATTTCATATGAGACAAAGAGTAATTCAAAATGTATGAGTATCCTGAAAGAAATAGCTGGGAAGTCACCAGCGCAGGTACAGAAAAAGAGGGGCGTCGTTGGCTACCAAACCCTTCTTTTTTGGATAATTTGCCTTTTGTTGCATTTTGTTCAAGAGATGTGACTCGGTACGGTGAAGTAATGTAGCGATTAGAAAATCGATACCTATTTCAACAAATTGTCGAGTTATTGACAAAGGCACCCAAAATAAGGATTGGCTCAAGAAAGGTCATATCATTTTTTTTTTTTCAAGAAATATAAATGGTCAACGGATTGACCCCTTGTTCAAAAGTTAAAAATCAATCAATCAATCAACTTTATTATTCCCAAGAAACAACATTCGTTTATAGCAGGGAACATGGTGAATACATAAATATATTTGACAAAATAAAATAAAGAAGACAGTAAAATAAGACTCGCACTCAAGTTCAACTGAAAATGATTCTCAATTGACTCAGCTGTCAGGTACCCAATAGAAAACTATAGAAGTTGTACAAGAAAACTATAAAAATGAGATAAGATGTCAATATTACAGGAGTAGATGTTTCTTGAATTCTCTTTTAAATTTTTCAATCAAACTGGAAGTCTATGTTTTTAATACTAGAGGCATGATGTCTGTACGACGATGCTAGAAACGATAATATTCAAACTGTTACTCACTTCATTTAAAAATGGCATTGGATCGAATGTAGGTGTTAGCGTGATTCCTTTATCATTAATGGACATTTCTTCATATTTCTTCAACATGGCTTCAGATAATTTATTTATATTTTCTTTTTTATCATCTTTTAGTGAACTACTAACATTATCTATGAGATCTATGTCATCTTCAACATTTTCATCTTTCAGTCTGGAAAAAAAACATGCATAATGGTCAGAAAAAATTGGTAATTTTTCGGGTATTGGGTTGTGGTGGTTCTTGAAGAAACATTAATTTGTAGGACCACTACAGAATGGCCAATGGAATTGTTAATTTTTGAATTAAAGCACAATATTCAGACAAATATTGGACAAGAGATCTTTTTGTAGTTTTATTGGTGGTCATAAATACATAAGAGATAATGTTTTTATCGATAAATACATGTTTAATTGAATGAAAGTTTTATTGTCATGGCAAACAATCGGAAATCGAGGGAGTGAACAAATTTCTGTTTCCCTTGATTCGAGATTTTTTTGCCAAATGCCAATAAAATTTGAAATGTATTCATTTGAAATGTATTCATCAATAAAAACATTTCTCGAATGTATTTTTGGGAGATTAATACACAACTGCAGTATAAAGACAATTCGGTTTGAAAAAAAAATCGAAAATTATCTGACGGTAGTGACGGTGACAGTTTTTGTCAATGTATAGAAGTGTGCTGTTTGAAAACAAGGCGTATTTATCGGTTATTGGGAAAGCTAAGTAGCTTTTTCTACTACAAATTTCTAGTGATTGGTGGGCTCTATGGAATTGAAGAGATCTTATTGGATCTTGGAATAGGCGTGTGTTAATCACTGGAAAAAGGAATTGATTGTTTGCTGATGCTTTAATTGATTTTGGAAAAAATATTTGTAGGATGTAGGCAGTTTGAATTTTTTTTCGAATAAAACATTTTGTTTTTTTTAATCGGATGAAAAATTATTTGGTATACTTGTCAGTTCCGAGTGAATGACCCGCTGCTCCAATATCTAGACACTTTTGAGCGATCGCATAGAAATTCATAATGCTATAATGAAATGTGAGGCTAATGAGAACACTATTCAATGTCAGGTTTCTGTAAGTTTAACCTGTGTTTCAATGAAACATCCTATACAGGTCGATTCATAAAAACCGTAGTTTCGCCAATTTGGTAAATTGAATTGTTCAACTTTTCTGTAATTCAAAGGTATTGCCGAATGGATGACGAAAAACTTTTTAGCTAAAATATTTGCAATTTCCTAGGTCTTCCGCTAGAACAACTTCATTATTTCGAAATGAACCCCCTGCATTTTATGACATATTATTATTATTATTTTGAGACCTTCCATTCGGCGAAACTCCTAACTTCTAGGAAAGTTGACCAAAGGGAAGTTTCCTAATTAGCTTCATGTTTTAGAAATAAGTGCAGTTTTACCAAAATATGATTAAATGTATTCAAAATCACATCATCTACCACCTCCTGACCTCTTTCCAGATATCCGTCGGTGAAACAAACACCCTGTACCCTGTATATGTCCCATGTTGTAAACTTACAATTCCAACATCTTCTTGGCAGATTCCTGTTTGGCAGTTTTCTTATTGAGACCAAGTCCATCAGTAACGAATTTCGAGAAATGACAGTGCACAATGAATCTTCCGTTCAATGGAACAATATTATCTTGGTACTGAGGATACGGTTTTCCATGCGTCGAACAGTACTCATTCAATTTTCCAACATAATTATCAGGAGGAGAATTCTGATTCCCAATACTAATACTACTGCTTTGGGCTGGAAGTGATGTGGAAACGGTCTGAATACTTTTCACCATATATTCATCGTTGATAGAATAATTCAAGCTCTCCAATGCATTGGATGCACTGTTTTGTTTAGCTTCCTTTTTATTATTTCCATAACCCTTCACCTCGATGCTACCAGCATGGACTATACATGCAAAACTAAATCGTTCGTTATCAGATGGACATTCCAAGTAACTAGGTAGTATATTTTTTTTCACCATCAGTTCTTGTAGTATTGATATCGGCGTTTTATTCATCTTTTGAATTTTATTATGTCTGTAAGAAATCACTATGGTTAGAAAGGGTTTAGATCTGTTTAGATAATGAAATTTCGATAACTTTATCAGATAAATATGTTGTAGGCATAACGTGGCATAACAAATACAAATAAAACAGATCATTTCATGATAACATCATTTCTATTAGTCACCAATAATACACATCATGTCATTCATGTCCCAGCTTGAATGCCCCCTTCCATAATCAACCGTTTGATCGAATGACTTGAAATCAGTTTTGTCAACTTAGCGGATTTCACACTAGAACTCGTGGTTTGAGACAAAATATGGCATCTAGTGGATGGTGTTTTATTTTAGTGAATTTTTTCAATTGAACAAGAGGGATGAAATATAGAGGAGTCCGATAAATTTGCCCTTGTTTAACCTCTAGTCTGTGCCACTGAACTATTTTCAATGTTACAATAGACCATTTGTGCTTGCTCTACCTGCTAAAATTGAATTTTTTCTGACTTTCTCTGTTCACATGATGCCATGAACAGAGACAACAATGAAAAAAAAAACAACTTTAGCAAGTTCAGCAATACAAACGAACAGGCCTTATGATATCCTTTCCTTCTGAACTAACTGACATATTTCACTTGGACTAAACTGAATCAGTTAACATGCATTCTAACTAATCAAATTCTTTGGAAACAACATAATAACTGATTCAGGTTCAGTTTTAGTGAGATATTTCAGTTAGTTCAGATTATAATGATGTGATATGCCTATGTCATAAATGTCATTGACTGATGACCTTTCAAATTTTTTGAATGAAATTACTAATGATATCATACTTATTTTGACATATTTTGTTAATATCGTTAATTTGACACTGTTTAATTCAAAAATAGTTCAGTGGCACAAACTACATGTTAGACAAGGAAAGATTTATCGAACCTCTCTATATTTCAATGCGGGCACGTTGGTAGCATTGAAGAGAAAGATGGAAGAGAAGAGATCTTTCCTCTCTCTCGTTCAAGGTAGAAAAGAGCTCAATTGAGCTTTTTTATTGTTCTGGTTCCCACGAAAAGGGAAATCCTGTAATTTTCAGAGAAAATCGTGAGAACCAAGGGAAATAAGGTAGGAATTGGTGTTCTTCTTGAATTTCTGGAGGTTATATGTCTCGGGGAACACCTCTCTTGGCAATGTGTTCCAGAGCCTCGCTGTTCGAACGAGTGTTTGGAAATAGATGTTCTGCAGGTCTCCAAAGTGACCACGAAGGGGGGTGCGAAGCCTCAACTCGACGGGTTAATCTCGAGGGGACTGTCAAGGGAGGAATAACTGTTGATATTTAAGAAGAGCATAGAATAGAGCCAGACCGCCAACTTTTCTGCGGCGTTCCAGAGAAGTGAGTGAGTTTCGTGAGCGAGGCATCACCCACGGGACGAATTGCCCTTTTTTGGACAGAATCCAACAGTTTCAGGGTACGTTTGGGTGCTGCACTCTGCACTCCAAATGTGGAAACAGTATTCCAGGACAGGTCGGATCTGTGCCTTATAGATCATGAGCAGCTGACTGGAAGTGAAATAGCTCCTGGCCCGAAACAGAAAACAATCCACAATTTGGCTGTTTTTTGTAGGACATCAAATGCTGTTTTTTTATTTTTCATGTCTTATACGTAACATATACAAGTATGTCATTGATGTTATGATGCATTCATTTTGTTCGTTTTGTTTTATGTTGAAGAAATTTTTTTTTTTCACATTCATTTATATATATCGTCATTAATCCAAGATCCGTTGACCAGCTAGACTTCCATTATCTGGTGTAATCTGGTGATGTGAACTGAAGTTAAAACCACCAGAAAATCACTATATTTGTAAAAATATTCGCCTACGGCGCATTTTTTCCGATTTCGTCTACTTTTGTGTTTTTTTTTTGTGTTTTTTCAGGTGGTCATTCTGCGACTTTTGGAAATCTTAGTTGGGAATGTTCGCATGAATGTTAGTTCCTATTTAAAGATGAGGGCTTGATCATTATATATGGAAAAAAGAAAGTTACTCTTCGTGGTTAAACTTAGCTTGATCATGTTTTAGATTGAAGTGCGAAACATTCTTAACACAATGTTTTTTGATTCAATTCAACATCTTATGTTTGAGAGAAGATACAAGTGTTTTAAGAAATTACGAAATTTTTAAACCTAGACAGCACTTTTGCAGAACTTATATCTTTGATCTTTAAGGTGACCTCCAGCCGCTATTTGCTATCCGATTTCGATTTCATTTATCAAATTTTCGCAACTACAGAAAACAATGAATTTACTCGAGAGGTAGCGGATTACCACGAGAAGAGTGTATATAGCGAATAATATAAAAATTATCACAGCTATGAGTATGCAGGAAAACTCACATGGCACATGGTACACAAAAGCATGAATATGTAATCACTAATTTATGTCGAAAAGACTCAATATTAATGCAGTTACAAAAATATGCGCGATTTTTTAACACTTGGAGGAAAGTATCGAGCTATACTATCGACCCTCAAAAATGGAAGCAACTCAAATCCCTTTCTTATCTGTTGTTCAGAGCGCAAAAACTGGTGAGGAGTTTTTGTATCGAGAACGAATCGCGGTTTATTAATTAGCCTATTCGAGCCTATTCGCGATAGAAAATAAGCGTACGCCACCTATCGGAGTTATTGAAGTTTGCAAAGCAGCATGGTTAGTTTTCATTGGTTCACACTTGTTTTTTGTTAGTGCATATTGGTCATATCATTAAAACAAACCGCTCAGAAGTGTTCAAGATGCTGCCGTCAGGTGGGGCGACGTGTTATTTTCTATTGCTAATATGGATGGAAGATAGATAATGGATTGAATGCAGGAGCAGGTAGGCCACCAGTAAAACTTAGGATGGCATGGGGAGTTGACTATAGAACAGCTTTGGCACAAATGTCAACTGTAATTTGGACGAAATTGGTTGGAATAAAAAATGAATGCTCGCAGTTGAGAATGGATATTTTTTTCTGTGACGGGAAAAAAGTTTGGCATTTCATCTCTGTTGGCAGGTTATAAAATGTCACTTTTCATAAATTACTTTTTTCCCGTGGGAAAAAAGTGAGTACTTTTTTCCCGGATATATATCACATATATATATACACTGTTGATAGTGTTGATGACTTTTGTTGTGCTATAGTTCCGAAAATGAGTCAATAATACCGTCTCCGAGAAAAAACTGCAATTTTTTGAAATCAAATCATAGAATCAGACTGACAGAAGTGACATCAGATCTCTGAATACTTCGAAAGAATGATGAAGATGCCTAGAACGCAGGTGTCCCTACTGTTGAAAACTTAAAATTTCACGTCGATAATTTTCAGATTTCAAAATAATGTAATATCTTCTCAATATTTGATTCGTCCTTTCCTCTGTCACAGAAAAAAATAATGTATTATACACGGGAAAAATATCAGATTTTAGCTCACGGTTTTTTGTCTCCCTCCACTACGTGTTTATATTTGAATTTGTATTTTGTGTCTGAATTGCATGATATTGATAAACTTTTTTGTTCGGTTTCAGCCAAATAGTCGTTACGAACAGGACATATCGAAACATATCAGACTATATCCTACTTTCATTCAATTTCTCCTCCACTAAATGAACCAAACCCAGCAATATAATTGCCACTGTTGCCAACTTTTCTCCGATGGAGTACTTTTGAATATATTTATGATTTTTTCGTGTCCGTACTGGCCCGGAGAATTAAGTATCTCACCCGGAGCCCGTAGGAGCCCTACTGAAACCAGGAGACTCTGGTCGTTCATTGGTATATTACGCTGACTCTCGGAGTTCATTGGTATATTACGCTAATGCTCTGGGTCAAACCCTGAGATGTGGTAACCCTAAAATCCTAATGCATAAGACGAAATATGAATTTCATCTTGAATTGAAGTCACGGTGCAATCTTTGTCTTTTGCGAATGTGTATAATTATTACTAGGTAGTTACAAATATGGCAGCGTCGAAATATGTGGCCATGCTTTTTTGAGTTTTTATGGGTAAGCCAGTGTATAGATAACAATGACTTTCGGTTCAGTTCATGACGTTATCGATGCTGGCGTTTCGAAGGTGCTGAATATTATTATTGAAAAAAATATATTTGGGATGATTTTAAATAACGAATGATTGCATTAAATACTATTTATACACGGGATGCAATATAAAATAGGTTTGTGGCGTAAATTCTACTAGTGTGTATATACAACCCCAGTGATATGATGGCACACTCAGTTGAAATTTGAATGGCCCTTGGACTTGGATACATACAGCGGAAGAGTAGCGGCTGGGAAGCAGAGGCCCTTTCATAAGTACGTGTACATTCTGCCTTCATCCCATAATCTTTCTGAATTGCCCTTTCGGAGCATGTTTCAACGATATATTTTTTTCTTGTTTCAGCAGAAAGACTATCCGAAGATCTACATTCATAGAAATTTGGAAAATATAATTCCAATTTTCAGGGCAAACTATTTTTTTTTTCATGTTAAGAGAAGTAATAACACCTGAAGGACTCAAAAATACTATGAAAATTATTCGAAAGAGATATGAAGAATGTATTCAATTAAATGATAGTTCAGTGGAAGTTACAAAAATGAAATACATTGATTATATAGGGCTGATAGATAATTATGGGCCGATAGTAATCAATAATGTACTGAACTTATTTGTATAATGGCTAGTAGAAAATTCGGAAATATAAAAATTTGCGCAGTTCCTCGCAGTTTACCGAGAGTCTGATATTTGATAGTTGAGTCATTCCAACCATATATACCAGCACAATAATCTATAATTTCCAACCACTTCTCAATACTATCCTTCATTGGGTTGAATTCAGGAATTATTGTTGAAATTATCATATTACTACTCCAAGGAACATGTTTTGCGTCACTCACCCCAGTAGAAACTTCACTAACTTGCTTAACACATTCAACTATCAGTTCGACGGCGTTTCCGAAGGCTAACTGTTGACATCTCATCTTCCCAGGACTCTGGTGTCAAGGC